CGTCGCCTAGTACATATGAACGGTCGTCATTGCAAATCGAACATCCTTTTGAAATTTGGACGTCGGGCAGGCGATTTCAAGGCACCGCACTTAAATATTAGCAACATATTTTTCTGAGCGGTTGTTTATTCTCTTTCAAACGAGACATAAATGTGACGACATAGTCGATCCCTTATCCACCGCTAAGAATGCCGCAATGTTTCGTTCGTTTTGCAACATGCCACAAATCGTCGAAAAAAACACCACTTCGACGGAAGCTTGCATAATAAGGGGGTTAAAACAAGAAAACAAATGCCATGTTTAATACATATCGACCTGTTTTACTTGCGAAAGATAACGGAACATGAACTCGTTTCGTGCGACTTCGGAACCCGAAGGAACACACCAACAACGTTGAATTTACCCGCTATCTTCCAAATATGGTATATTAATTTATTCAGTTGTTTATTTAGAGTGACGTCCGCGGTCGAATGCGATTGGCTATCGATGTCAGTGCAAAGGTCATATGAATATTAAAATTAAGTGGGCGGAAGGAAAATTGTATAGGAGACAAGCTGGAGTCTCGTGTGGTGATAGCGATAACACCGGGACGAATGGTCTGGGATATAATCATCACATATCAATGAATGTTTGTACATGGATACTGTAGGACAATAGACAGACCTGGATAATTGTGGATTAAAATCTGTACTTTTTAATTACCTAATTTGCATAATTAACCAATTTTAAACTTTCACACTGATATCTATACTACTAATTATTCCATTTCAATCAAACTTAGTACAAAGATGCTCTAGGACAATGTACAAACCTAATTAGTTTGGGGTAAAAATCTGTTCGTATTAATTCCATAATAAGCATAATAATTCATAATTTTTTGGTTCTAATCATGTTTCAATTAAACTTGGAAACATAGATTTTCTGTTACATTGCGCAGACCTCATTAGTTTTACACTCAAATCTGTTCATATTAATTTTCTGATTTGCATAATTAGTTTTCAGCTAAGTAATTTCGAATTATATTTAATGTGTCTCTAATACTTTCAGCACATGGGAGTTATTTATTTATTTATTTATTTATTTATTCATTTATTCATTTATTCATTCATTTATTCATTCATTTATTTATTTATTTATTTATTTATTTATTTATTTATTTATTTATTTATTTATTTATTTATTTATTTATTTATTTATTTATTTATTTATTTATTTATTTATTGCTATTCTTTTGGATCATGGACCAATTGCTGTATTGCATATCATTACAGTAGATTAGTCTTAAAAATAAAAAAAAATAGCTTGTTTTATGTTATCTTAAATCTATTGTCTGAAGTCCAATGTAATGTGATTTTATAACTGTATGATTCCTGACAAATGCATTTTCCTTGAGGCAAAAAAATAATAGGAATTGTTTAGCTAGTTTTTCAGTGGCAAATGCCATTATAATTTATTTGGTTTTGGTCAAATTGAGACTAGCTGAATGCTACTTTTTTTGCTCAGTGTCTGAAGTACAACTAAATGCCAGTCTATGCCATTGTCAGAATAAACTTGTATTGTTCATTCCGTAATTTGCTAAAATCAACATGTTTGTGGTGCTTGTGGATCTAATTTGAGAAAACACTGAATTTTTGTGACTTTTCATGCAGTGTCCTGTATTATATACTGTTGTGAAATTATATATTTGTGTTGTAAATATGGCTGTCTTAATTTGAGTAATTTCACAGTATCATTTTTGTATT